AACTGCTATTCACATTCAGTCATGTTTTATTAAATCTTCTACTTGAGCCTTCTCCTTTTAAAATATTAATGATTCTGTGTATTTTACAGCATGAGAAGGCCTCTAGGCTCATGTTTGACCACCTAGTGGATGTCAATGGTTTGGAGCGGCTGATGAAGAAGCATGGCCTGATAGTAGACGAGAAAAACGATAAAAATGACCTGGTCTTCATCAAAGAGCTGATTGAAGGAAATCCCCCGAGTGACAAAGTACAAGACGAGACATCAATCAGTTCTTGTGTGAATTTTATGAAATCAATCAATACCATCTTCACTGCACAAGTAAATGTCTAATACCACTGTTCTGATGTTATCCCCACAGTGGCAATGTAAGGGCCGGGACGAGAGCAAGTCCTTCCTCTATGAAATAGTGGCAAACAAGCTGAATGGAATTGATGTGGACAAGTTTGACTACTTTGCCAGGTGGATTTTGCTTTAGTGTTGAATCTTTTGGTGTAAAGTGAGGTCCTACTGTGTACTACTTCCCCTGAACAATTACAATATTCTCCAGATTAGTTTTACTATATGCAACAATCTCAAGGGTGATTTGGAGAGTTCAACAGAATACTTGTATTTTGATTCATGTATATCCTCACTCGGTCTTGTCTTAGGGACGCCTACCACCTGGGCATACAGAGCAACTTTGACCATAAGCGCTTCATCATGCTTGCCAGGGTGTGTGAAGTGGACGGACTGAAGCACATCTGCTCTAGAGACAAGGTGGTCACTTATGCCTTCTATCTGCTTTAACGCTGCAGTTAATTCATGTGATTACCTGTGACTAAACTATAGGTCATATTCTCATCAGGAGGTGGGCAATCTATATGACATGTTCCACACAAGGTACTGTCTCCACAGAAGAGCCTGTCAACACAAAGCAAACACAGCCATACAGATTATGTGAGTACCTTCCCTACCATGCTGGTATCCTACAACATTTACCTCCTGTTTGATGTAACTTATTGAATTTGATTCATGATTCTCTTTATCATATATGATGCAGCAACATATTCCCAAAAGTGACAGTTTGTTGGGTCTGTTGTCCAGGATCAGTGATGCCTTCTTAAAAGCAGATGAGCACATCCAGATTGAGGGCTCAGGAGGGAAGATGTTCACTCTGTCCACAGCCAAAGATGACATGGAGGCCTACACCAAGCTGACAGGTCAGTGGATGCTAATTGTGCCATGTTTAATATACATTATCCACTCACCAGCCAAGGTCACTGTATCGGGTGCACCTTGNAATATCGATGACAGAGACATTCTCTGTGTGCAGATTGCAGGTCTTTGCCATGACCTGGGTAAGTCATACACACCTTTCCTGTCATACGTGTTTCTTATTTTGAATGGTATTTAATGGGTGTGATTAACTGTAAATATGAAAGTGAAACAATCCACAAATTGCAAACAGCATTTTGTTGTTATTGCCACGGATGCATTAGATTACAACAAATCAAGTCCTCAACAAAGGCAGAAAATAAAAATAACGTTTGGATAGGGTTATGTTGTCATTTTCATTAGTCTGAAAGACAATGTTGCAAACACTTGTATACATGTAAATGATTCTTCATGTATTCAGTCACTCCCTATAACAGATACCCAATACGTTCCTCAACAGTAAGTCAAGATTTTGGACTCTTATCAGTTTGAGTTATTGTTAAAGTGTAGTTACTTGTTTCTGGAAATTCAGTGAAATTTGTCCTCAATTTGACATTTTATTTTGGACTATACTCATGTCTACTGGTATTTGTTTGCACTGCTGAAGACAATGTTGCCATTGTACCTTCTTCATCAGAACTGAATGGCGGAAAGTACTGACTCTGCAGCAGAAAACAATTATAGGAAATGAGATAACAAAAATGTAACCAGTAAAATACAAATATATATTTTGATACAAAGCAGTAATTTGGGATACAGGCTTGTCTCCAATATTAATAAGTTTAAAATGAAAATGTCTGATAAGACACAATCACCAGGAGGTTGTTTCATGTCTCTTTCTCTATATCTAGGACATGGCCCCTTTTCTCATCTGTATGATGTAATGTTCATCCCCGAAGCATGCAAAGATGAAAAATGGACGGTAAGAAAAATCACAGTACTTTTGTTGTCGAATGTGTTTGACACAAAAGTCAACCACAAAACTGAAGCATACATTAAAAAAAAACACACACATGCATCTAGTAGCATGCCGTAAATACACTACATAGTTGTACACCAGCGCTAATCCATTATCTATGCACCGCTTAATCCTCACTATTCCAGCTGACTCAGGGGACACCCTGTCTCTACACTTAGAGACAGACAACCAAGCACACTTGCATTCACACCTACAGACAATTTAGGAGGACCAATTAACCTCAACATGTTTTTGGACTTGTGGGA